GATGGTAATAATAATAAGACAAAAATGATGAAGATGTAGTAATAGTAATAACATATAATAGAAATGATGATGATGGTAATTATAATAACAATAATGACGATGGTAATTATGATAACATAATGATGATGAATGGTAATAATGATAACAATAATGATGGTGATGATGGTAATAATAATAACAATAATGAATGAATGATGGTAAGTAATAATAATAACAATAATGATGATGAATGGTAATTATAATAACAATAATGATGATGACGATGGTAATAATGAATAACATATAAAATGATGATAATGGGTAATAATATAACCAATGATGATGATGATGGTAATGAATAATAAAATAATGATCGATGGATGATGGTATAATAATAAACATAATGAATAAATGTGTTAGTTATAACATAATAAACAATAATGATGATGATGGTAAATTAATAATAACAATACAAATGGATGATGCGAGATGGTAATAATGATAACGAATAATGATGATGATAATGGTAATAATAATAACAATAAATGATGATGATGATGATGGTAATAATAATAACAATAATGATGATGATGATGGTAATAATTATAACAATAATGATGATGATGTAGTAATAATAATAACAATGATGATGATGGTAATTATAATAACAATAATGATGATGACGATGGTAATAATGATAACAATAATGATGATGATAATGGTAATAATAATAACAATGATGATGATGATGATGGTAATAATAATAACAATAATGATGAGATGATCGAATGATGATGATAATAATGATAACAATAATGATGATGATGATAGTAATAATGATAATGACATTGATGATGGTAATAATGCAACAGACATGATGATGATAATAACAATGATGATAATGATAATGATAATGATGCTGTTTATTGTAATGACTAAAGATAAAATGATAATGACAATAACTATAATGAGGATAATGATAATAATAATCATGAAAATCATAGTAGTAATAGAAATAAGGGTAATGATAGTAATGACGATGAAAATTATTATAATGACAATAATGATAATGATGATAATAATAGTAGCAGATATGGTAATGATAATGATAATAATGACAAGAATAATAATAATGATAATAACAATAACAATAATGGTGATATAAAAGATAATGATAATGATAATAATAAAAATAATGATAATAATAGTAATAGTGATAATGATGATAAGGATGATTATGATGATAAAGATAATATTGATACCTAAAATAATAGCAATTACGCTAGCAATGATAATAAGGAGAGTAACAAGGATGTCAATAATAATAATTCAAACAATCATGATAATAAGAGCAATAACAATCACAACAACGGTGATAAGAACAACGATCACAATAACAAAAATTATAAATAATCCGTATAATTTCTCCTTTTTTTCACTTATGAAAATTGTTCTTCTCGCTGTCTAACAAAAGAGAGCGAATATAGATGGCGATAAATAATGATAATAATCTTAGCAAAAACAAAAGCTGTCAGAACTTACTTTCGTCGCCTTGTCATCAACAAAATGTCTGTCTTTGCATTAGAGAAGCATTAAGGATTATGATGTATGATTATTCAAGTTTAATTATCGAATTATTTTACAAATTTGAATTATATTACAAATTCTCTCTGCAAAGATATATATCAACATTATATATAACATTTTTTTTCTTTGATAGATGATCGATATAGCAATTTATGAGCACTGGTTAGACTATCGTATGTTTATTTGCTTGATTTTCAAAAGGTGAGTCTTAGCTAATTAATGCACTTTACCTGTTGTGGGAGTGACTCAGCGAAATTTGTCAGTGATCTTAATTGGGTAATATCAAACCAATGTTTTTTTTTTCTTCTTCTTCTTTTTTCTTCTTCTTCTCTGTCTCTCTCTTTGTCTCTCTCCCTCTTTCTCTCTTTGTCTCTCTCTATATATATCTCTCTCTATATATATTCTCTCTATCTCTCTATCTCTCTCTCTTTCTCTCTCTCTCTCTCTCTCTCTCTCTCTCTCTCTCTCTCTCTCTCTCTCTCTCTCTCTCTCTCTCTCTCTCTTCTCTATCTATCTATCTATCTTCTATCTATCTACCTCTCCCGCCTTTTCTTTCTCTTCTCCCTCTCCCTCTCCCTCCCACTCCCACCCACTCCTCTCCTCTCCCTCTCCCTCTCCCTCTCCCTCTCCCTCTCCCTCCTCTCCCTCTCTCCCCTCCTCTCCCTCTCCTCCCTCTCTCTCTCTCTCCCTCCCCCTCTCCCCTTCATCCCTCTCTCTCTCTCTCTGCCTCTCCTCTCTCTCCTCTCTCTCGCTCATCTCTCTCTCTCTCTCTCTCTCTCTCTCTCTCTCTCTCTCTCTCTCTCTCTCTCTCCTCTCCCTCCTCCCTCTCCTCTCCTCTCTCTCTCCTCTCTCTCCTCTCCCTCTCCCTCTCTCCTCTTCCCTCTCCCTCTCCCTCTCCCTCTCCCTCTCCCTCTCCCTCTCCTCTCCCTCTCCTCTCTCCTCTCCCTCTCCCCTCTCCCCCTCTCCCTCTCCTCTCCCTCTCCCTCTCCCTCTCCCCTTCCCTCTCCTCTCCCTCTCCCTGCTCCCTCTCCCTCTCCCTCTCCCTCTCCCACTCCCTCTCCTCTCCTTCCCTCCTCTCCTTCCTCCCTTCTCCCTCTCCCTCTCCCCTCTCCTCTCCTTCTCCTCTCCTCTCCCTTTCCCTCTCCAACTCCCTCTCCCTCCCTCTCCCTCTCCTCTCCCTCTTCCCTCGTCCCACTCCCTCTCCCTCCCTCTCCCTCTCCCTCGATCCCACTCCCACTCGCCCCTTCCCTCTCCTCTCCC